AAATGCATGCTTTCAAATAATACAGTAAAGAGGCTGGGGCTAGTTGTCACATGTTTCAGTGTATGATAAACACTGATATATCTATTCACTGATATAGATAAACACTGATTGCAGATATCAGCTGTAGATGTTTTTGTGTTTCCTGTCATCTCAGCTTTTCAATTTAATACGCCAGATGTGGCTAGCAGCACAAGCAGGAAGTAGAGTTTGTGTAAATTCACTCATTTCAACGGTGAGATGTCAAGCGTCTAAGTTTGACTTGATGACCAGGTTCATGTATTTGTATGAAGGACAGGGTAGAAGGGAGAGAGATTACACAGACATACACTCACCAGCCACTTTATTAGGTACCCCATGCTAGTAACGGGTTGGACCCCCTTTTGCCTTCAGAACTGCCTCAATTCTTCGTGGCATAGATTCAACAAGGTGCTGGAAGCATTCCTCAGGGAGTTTGGTCCATATTGACATGATGGCATCACACAGTTGCCGCAGATTTGTCGGCTGCACATCCATGATGCCAATCTCCCGTTCCACCACATCCCAAAGATGCTCTATTGGGTTGAGATCTGGTGACTGTGGAGGCCATTTTAGTACAGTGAACTCATTGTCATGTTCAAGAAACCAATTTGAAATGATTAAAGCTTTGTGACATGGTGGAAGTAGCCATCAGAGGATGGGTACATGGTGGCCATAAAGGGATGGACATGGTCAGAAACAATGCTCAGGTAGGCCGTGGCATTTAAACGATGCCCAATTGGCACTAAGGGGCCTAAAGTGTGCCAGGAAAACATCCCCCACACCATTACACCACCACCACCAGCCTGCACAGTGGTAACAAGGCATGATGGTTCCATGTTCTCATTCTGTTTACGCCAAATTCTGACTCTAACATCTGAATGTCTCAACAGAAATCGAGACTCATCAGACCAGGCAACATTTTTCCAGTCTTCAACTGTTCAATTTTGGTGAGCTCTTGCAAATTGTAGCCTCTTTTTCCTATTTGTAGTGGAGATGAGTGGTACCCGGTGGAGTCTTCTGCTGTTGTAGCCCATCCGCCTCAAGGTTGTGCGTGTTGTGGCTTCACAAATGCTTTGCTGCATACCTCGGTTGTAACGAGTGGTTATTTCAGTCACTGTTGCCCTTCTATCAGCTCGAACCAGTCTGGCCATTCTCCTCTGACCTCTGGCATCAACAAGGCATTTCCGCCCACAGAACTGCCGCTCACTGGATGTTTTTTCTTTTTCGGACCATTCTCTGTAAACCCTAGAGATGGTTGTGCGTGAAAATCCCAGTAGATTAGCAGTTTCTGAAATACTCAGACCAGCCCTTCTGGCACCAACAATCATGCCACGTTCAAAGTCACTCAAATCAACTTTCTTCCCCATACTGATGCTTGGTTTGAACTGCAGGAGATTGTCTTGACCATGTCTACATGCCTAAATGCACTGAGTTGCCGCCATGTGATTGGCTGCTTAGAAATTAAGTGTTAACGAGCAGTTGGACAGGTGTACCTAATAAAGTGGCCGGTGAGTGTATATCAGTTGGTAAAATTGATTACATTTTTACAGGTTCTCTTCATTGAAGCAGGTTGAAATCTGAGCATGGGGATCTAGGTAGTCAAGTCAATCAATTTGATTTCATACAGAATTTTAAACAGGCCTCCAAACTAAAAATCCAACAAACCCAAACAAACTAAACAAAGTAAAATGGAACAAAAACCAATTTAAGCATGGTCTTACATAAAGAGACAGTTATGTTCAATGTACTTTCATTTTTCCTCTTCTCCAGGTTTACTAAATCCACATTTGTCATCAGCTCTAAATAAAACTCTGATGTATATTCAGTCCAGATGTGTGTCCCCTTCACAGACATTACGAAGTGAATTTGATCTTTATCGAACGATCGATCGATCAATCAATCAATCAAATTATCTATCTATCTATCTATCTATCTATCTATCTATCTATCTATCTATCTATCTATCTATCTATCTATCTATCTAGGCCTATCTATCTATCTATCTATCTATCTATCTATCTATCTATCTATCTATCTATCTATCTATCTATCTATCTATCTATCTATCTATCTATCTATCTATCTATCTATCTATATCTGTTTGTCTGTCTGTCTGTCTATTGTCTGTTTGACATTATCTATCTATCTATCTATCTATCTATCTATCTATCTATCTATCTATCTATCTATCTATCTATCAGACAGATCTATTATGTCAGACAGCATTTGATTTCACTTATACAGAACGTTGTGCTCCTCCACGTTTACCTTTAGTTTTGGTAAAAGTTCATCCACTCATCCTCTTCCTTTAAACTACAGTATAGCATGCAGATTATGGCTTTAGATGGTTGTGCATGCTGACAGATGACGGCTGTTTCTCTGAAGTTAAATTTCGGCCCCACCAAGTAAGGCAAAAGATCTCAGTAAGCTGTTAAATTTTGCATCCCAGCTGCGACAAGGAATTTTCATCCAGATCATCAAAACAATCAGTCATCCGATCATCAGACCTCTGAAGAGGGGAATATCAACATCTTTCTCTGATAATGCATGTATGCATGCATGCGTTCTGTCTTTCTGATCTTCTCCCTATATTTCCATCTTTTCATTGCTGTTCATGTAATACTGCCTTCCTTATAAAACCATCAGCCAATTATAATGCAAATTAACTCATATAATGACATACATTGCTTTAATTTATGCATGTAAGTGAGAGACAATAACTTAAACGCACTAAGTGCCAAAGATGTTTTTCGAATCCTCTCAGCCTGTAGCCACTGAATCAACTTACATAACTGGATGTGAAGCCATTACCCTAATCCTATGAAACTGCATTGCTTATATTAACTGAATTTTTGGGCTTTCTTCTAAACTTAATGGGTTTGTGGCTGTCAGGAAGCAAATAAAAACAATAATATACATTTTATAGCCTATTTATATTTTGTACATTTAACATTTATAACATATCAATTTCAATTAGATTCAATTTCGGGCTCATGCCAGGATGTGTGCTTTAAAGAGTATGAAAATGAATGAGAGGAGTGAAAAGGCTGGGTATTTGAGTATGTGTGGAGTTGTTTCCCCTCTGAGATATAACTAGATAAAAGAGGCTTTTATCTACATATGTATATAATTATTTCATATAAAATGTGCATGCATTAGCATTAATTTTTAGACTTTCATCAGTGGAAAAGCTCTCCTAGAAAAAAAACATTTCAGTCCTTTCTAACAGTTGAAAATTAATCATTGTGCATGGACCAGAAACGTAAAAAAGTCAGTTTATTTGGAGACAGCAGAGAGAAAAACATGTTTTTATTGGCTCTAAGATAATTTTTGGCTGAACATGGAAAAAGAGCAAAGGTTGTGTGAATTTATAAGTCTAACTAAAATAGGAACGGCAGCAACTGACCGATGCTTGCGTAAATGAAAGGACTCTGCATCTGTGACCTGCATCCCCTGAGCATGTGCAGAAATATGCATCATTTCACAGTGTGCAGCCAAGTGTTGTTTCCGTTTTATCAGCAGCTGGACGGACATGAAGTTTCAGTGATGCAGAATATTGTGTGATTAAAGGGATATACACTCAGGATAAAATAAACAAATAAATAAATATTTTTAAAAAAAACTCCTCTTAATTTTTTTTTTTACTTATTTTTTTCCAGAAAATTTCTAAACAAGTTTCACAGACATTTGACAAACAGAAACAGAATAATGAGTCCCTGAACAGAGCTTAGGCCCTGTTTACACCTGCTATTAAGATGCGTTTTGGTCGATCCGATCACAAGTGGACAATGCTAAATATAGGCCTAGGTGTGAACTAGGCTAAGTGGTTTTGAGCTTGTCCACTTTCGACCACTTCGAGGTAGTCGAAAACGCATTTGACAGGATTGCTTTCGTAGACGCTCATGTGGTCGAATGTGTTCGAACAGCCACAAAAGACCGCCTACTCTCCGCCTACTGACCTAATGCAAAACATTATGGGAAGCACGCTAGCCAGACGGGATTTAGGCTAAACTTTGCTGGCTGGGGACCCAAGTTTGGTTTGAAGACGAGAAACGCACCAAGCACAATGTTCTCTCACCATTCCTGATTTCTAACACCACTCTCTTTATTTGGCGTAGACTAGAGCATAACTAAGCCTCTGCTCTCCATGTGTTTTTGCATTATTATGCTGAGTTTAGTTCACTCAAAAACAGTGCATATGAGTTTATTATGACTTTGAGGACTGTTTAAACTTAAATAGTGTTTAATTTCCATTAAAATGACTTCTTGTTGATTTAATTTCAACCACTTGCTTCAAATCAAAATGCAATTTAATTTCTGTTAGGCTTAAATCTGGTCTGAGCTTGCTAGGCTGTGGCTATAGAATTACAATTTCACTAACACAGAGTTAGAATTAAACTAACATTAGAATTTTTTTCAACTTTAAATTCTAATTTAAATTGTAATATTTTAAATTGTATATTACTATTGTAATACAATATGTCATTGTTTTTTAAATATAACTTTGTTTTAAAATATAAGGGATATTAGACCATATTACAATGAATTAATGGCAAGTAGCCTAGTTTAAAAACAACAACAAATTAATATTCAATTATTTTAGGGTTCTCCAATTATTGCTTACACATTGTTATTGTAATTAATTATATTAATTTATTGGAAATGTAATGATTACATTAATGAAATTAATATTATGATTATGGACACTGTAAAGTATTATTGGTGTCCACTGTCCATCCTTAGCATGATTTACGTGTGTGTTATTACCACATGATTGCTTGATTGACAGATCTATCACATGAAGGGGCGGAGCTTTGCCGAATAGAACTGTCCGTTATGGATTTCTGAGGCGACGCGACAGTTACTTTGACCAGTCACTCTCCATCTGAATAATCTGAGCGCAGAGAGAGAGAGAGAGAGAGAGAGAGAGAGAGAGAGAGAGAGAGAGAGAGAGAGAGAGAGAGAGAGAGAGAGCGCACCTCAAGCGTTTAGTAACAGACGGAAACAACACGGTGCAGTCTGTGGTTTACAAACGTGGATTATGGAGAAGTTGGCAACTCAGTTTTAAGATCATTTCAAGACGGGAGAAAAGTGCTCAAATCCCTCGGGATGGTTGAAGAATCACAGCAAGGTAAGCATTTGTTTTTCAGTAAACATCATTATGAGCGTTTTCCGTGGGTTTGTTACTAGTCTACGTTGCGTCCACATGTTGCGTCTGTTGTAGTTTATTTATTTGCTTACAATCGTGTGTAGGTGAGGACTGAATAATGTTGTGAAACAAAATCCCTAAACAATTTTAAAAGTTGCAGATGAATCCTTAGCATTGTTGTTAAAATAACACCATGTTTATTTTGTATTTATTTTTCAAATTAGCTATACAGTCTCATGTACAATGCCACGTTTAATAGGGTTCTTCGTTGTAATTTCAGCTGAATTGGCCAATAAATAGTGCATGTTTATCAATTAAGGAGAATTATACAAACCTGATTGGATGACTGACAGCTTTGGTTTGGTAACAGATGGATCCCCAGACATTCTGTTTTGAGATGCTCAATACAATACATTGCATTACAATTAGTTTTAAATATATTTTGGGGAAAGACATCGATATTAAATGAACAACATCTGTTAACAATGGCTCAATGTTCTTGAAATATTCTCTATTTCAACTTTGATAAGAGCATTAGATGTTTGACGTGCTGCCAGACGGACTAGCCATTGCATCAGACAGATGTGCACTGCTATAGCAACCCACTCTGATTACTGCAACAAAGGAATGGTTATCCTTCTTTTAGCAAGTCACACTTCTCTTGTTAGGTCATTTCACATTCTTTTTTTAAAATGAATGGATCTCAAAAACTGACTACAGCATTGAAATGATTGTTGCAGCGGCAGGGTCTATTTTTAGAAATTGCATTATTTAGATAACCTAACTGGGGGAGGAGATTGATGGTTTAGTAACACATTTTCACAACTGGAGTATGAAGTGGCAGGATGCAGCATCATCTCTGATCTCACGGGAGATGAATTCAAAAGCTGTGTGTCACCAGAGTATAGTGAATGCTCATTAAGTTAAGCCTACTGTTTGTTATCCATAAATCCACTAGAAGCGTTAAAGTGACTAACAGTGTGTTGATTGGAAACTCAATTCTTTACTGTGTCCTTTTGAGCATATTTTCAGTTTGTTTTAGATGACTGATTCAGTGTCTTCAGTAAAAAGGTTTGTTTTGAAGGCTTTGACAGGTATTCTTTGTCACTCTGCCAAGTAATATCATTCTTTTGATTTGACTTCACCATTCTGGAAAAACAATCCATATATTTGAAGTAAGTACCGGACTTACAAAATATGGCTATACAATCAAATGTACCTTCACTGCACTGGGAAGCAGTTATTGTGAAGTGTGTCTCTTGTAATCGGTTCTGCTTTTCTCCTAAAATGCCTGGTGGGAAAGGTCTTCTCTACAAAAGCGATTGTGTTCAGACGTAGCCTACTTCTCCAAATGTAAAATGTAAAATGTAAATGTATTGACACTTGTCTTTGATTTGTTTATTCCCAAAATTAAGATTTTTGCAATGTTAAATACAATGCTAAAAAAAAATCAATATCTCAAGGACAGCCCTGAAGTCTATGGGGACTTTAGTAGTGAATGTGTGTTCATGTATACACACACATATATTATGTAAACAAAAACCTTTATGTTAGATGTGATTAATCGCGATTAATCAATTTCACAGCACTAAAATAAATATAATAAAACTGTAAAATGCCAAACCAAATAATATATCTTTAAAATAACTTTTTTTTTTTCTGGACAATTGTCATCCTCCTCCATCTAGATCAGTGGTCTTGTCTGATTTTCTTGACGACCCAGATTTCTGCAGTTACTGCAAATCTTTGATTTGATTCATGTTTTTTTATTTTTTATTTTTTTACAATTATCATTGGAACTGACAAATAAATGTCTGTACTGAAACCCCTGCTGTTATCAAGTTCAAGTCAAGTCAACTTTATTGTCAATCAAACCATGCAACAGTACATTACGCAGCAGACAGAAATTGCGTTTCTCCCATACTCCAATGTGCAATATTAAAACAAAAATTTTAACACATACTAAACATAGGCAAGGCAAGGCAATGTGCAATATTAAAACAATGTGCAATACTCCAATGTGCAATATTAAAACAAAATTTTTAACACATACTAAACATAGACTAAACATACGGCTAAACATAGGACACCACTAAACAAGTGCAAGGGAGCTGGAGTAGTCGCTGCCGTATAGGGCGCCGCCATTCAATAGAATGCCGCCGCCAACAGAATGCTTCTGTTATAGTATCATTCTGAAGTGATTTACTGTGACAACTTATTGAAAATGTGTAAGTTATGCATGTGACTGTCAAATTTTAATTTTCATGTTGTGATATTTGCTGACATTTTTTTCATGGTATACACAACACATTATCACAATATTGAAATAAGTTGCAAAAAAAGTGTTGTCATACTATAACAGGTTTAATGACTTCTTATAACAAAAATATCTGAATATTTAAATGCAATAATACAATACACAAAAAGTGTATAAAGTAAACAAATGTTTCAAACAGATGAAAGTGTAAAGAATCATAAAGAACAATATAACCCTTTACAATAAGATATCATTAGTTAACATCAGCTAATAATGCATTAACTAACATTAACAATGAACATGATAACGTTAGTAAAAAATGCAACTGATCATTGCTAGTTAATGTTAGCTCAGGTTTTGATTTGAATAATGTATTATTAATGCAGAAACTAACATTAACTAAGATTAATAAATGCTTTAGAAGTATTTGTCATTGTCAGTTTATGTCAACTAATGAATTAACTAATGTTTATTAATGGAGCCTTATTGTAAAGTGTTACTGAAGAATAATAAAGAATCAAAACATTTCCAAATTCAATTTTGTAGTCCTAAATAGCCTATTAAGTCTTAAAGTATTGAGTGTTGGGCTTGTTTGCATCAGAGTGCACGTGCCTCTTTGACGTAGCATACAGCGGTGTAGTGCATTTTAACTATTGATGGACCAATATTCTTCAAATGCATTCTAAAAATCGGGATAATTCGTAATAAATAACTATTCACAGTTTTTTAAAGTGTCCACGATAACAGTACTGTGCATTATCGTGATATATTGTATTACCGTATATCAGCACATCATGTCTAGTGTGTAAGTAGGACAGATGGAGGTGCACAAACACAAAATCACCATTTATTCCAGAACTATGTCCTATTAAATGACTTGAAAAGGAAAGAGAAGCTTTAGCTAAATCGTTAATTATAAGCATTAACACAAGCATCAGTTACAGCATTGCTCTGTAATATCTCTGTAAATGTATAGAACCTATCTATGGTAGTGAGACGTGTCTGATGTGGCACTAAATTGCACATCGTTAGACAACCTGTCATCAACCCTTGAAAATCGCTCAAGTTCCTACTGAGGACCTGCTGAAAATGACATGCTAGCAGGTCTGACTCATTTCTTAGCTCTATGCCATTGTTTCACCTCTATCTCAAAGGCATCAGGCTTTTGAAGAATCATTTATGTGTTTATTTGAAATCTTCCTGCTCTGTTGTCTTTCATTCTTTTCCTTCCACAAGAACATTTTGCATGGCAGTGCGCAGAGACTCACCATGTATTGATTACAGATATTAATCTGTATTAATCTGAGTGTCGTCACATCCAGTAGCCGATAAAAGATGAGAGAGTTTGTAGAGCTTAGTCTGAAGCATCAGAACATTGGCAGGAGGTTTTTGAATCGTAAAGCTGTTGGATGTGACTGACTGCCCTCCAGCTTGTCTTAAACTGAGTTCAAATACTTTTCTGTTTAAGCCTTTAATTGATTTATTTTTTATTCCGCAGGAAAGTAATCACACTCCTCAGTAAGGCCCTAATGGAGAATGACACCTCCATCCCCTCGGGCTACGTCCCACATTACCTTCTTCGAGGGGATCCCTTCGCCTCCAAGCTGTCCAAGGAGGCAGACATAGTGGCGGCGTTCTACATCCTTATCATTGGTAAGTGTACAATGTGGACGATCATGTGGAAGAGTTCTTTGCAAGCATCATGTGAATTGTCATTGATAAAATCAGTGATAACTTTGAATTCAAATATTTAAATTAAGTTGTTTAAATTAAATCAAGTTCCAGAATGTCTGTTATTGTACTTGCGCTGCAGTTCAAAAGTTTGGGATCGGTACGATTTTTAATGTTTTTAAAATAAGTCTCTTATGCTCACCAAAGCTGCAATCATTTGATAAAAAAAAAAAAAAAGTAATATTATGAAATATTATTACAATTTAAAGTAACTGTTTTCTATTTTAATATATTTTAAAATTTAATTTATTCCTGTGATGCAAAGCTGAATTTTCAGCAACATTACTTCAGTCTTCAGTGTCACATGATCCTTCAGAAATCATTCTTATATGCTTATTTGCTCAAGAAACGTTTATTATTATTATTATCAATGTTGAAAACAGTTATGTACATTTTTTTTCAGGATTCTTTGATGAATAGAAAGTTCAAGACAACAGCATTTTTTCTGAAATAGAAAGCTTTTTGTAAGTTTTACAAAAGTTTTAGGTCAGCAATACTTTTATTCAGCAAGAATGCATTAAATTGATCAAAAGTTACAGTAAAGACATTTATAAGGTTACAAAAGATATTTAAAATAAATGAAATAGTTCTTTCTATTCATCAAAGAATCCTGAAAAAAAGCAATTGTCCACAACTGTTTTCAACATTGCTAATAATTATGAATGTTTTTTTGCGTATCAAATAAGCATATTAGAATGATTTCTGAAGGATCATGTGACACTGAAGACTAGAGTAATGATGCTGAAAATGCAGCTTTGCATCACAGGAATAAATTATATTTAAAAACATATTCAAATAGAAAACAGTTATTTTAAGTTATTTTAATACAGTCAGATTTATTGTCTTAATTTTGCCTGCACATCTAAGAGCTTTGCATAAGAACCAATTTGAACTTTGTGTATGTCGGTAAGGCCTACACATTGCTAATGAACAGTCTTGGGAGTAGACTAGATACAACTAGACACTGACTTAATAATCTTTAAAGCAATGGGTGAACCAAACCCTGATTGTTGATTATGAATGATGCACAAAGACTAACATAATTGAATATGGATTTAAGGAGACCATGTTTTTGTATGTGTGCACCAGAGAAACAATTCTGCTTTGTTTTCTTTATGAATTGATGGTTTTCACTTGACCATTCACAGAGAAACCTAGACAAAAAAAAAAAAAAACTCATTATTGCGTATTTTAATGAGAATCTTGTATGTTTTTGCACCTCTAACTCTCAAATATTTATTATTCCCCTTATTGTCCAGCAAGTCAAGTGTATCTGAAGAATGAATGCCTAGCCTACATATTTATTTTACCGATGATATGATGCATGCTCTTTTATTTAAAACTCCATATATTACCATATCAGCTTATTTGTTTTGTTTGTGGTGTGTTAATGTGCTCTGAGGTTATGAAAATCAGAGTGATAATCCGATCAGATTTAGCAAGTGTGAACGGCAAAAATCACGTGAAATGCATAACCCATACTCGGAATCAGTCCTCTGCATTTAACCCATCCAAGTTAGTGTATACACATTAGGAGCAGTGAGTAGTGAAAACACACTTCAAACGGTGAACACACACACCCGGAGCAGTGGGCAGCCATCTTTGCTGTGGCGCCCGGGGAGCGATTGGGGGTTAGGTGCCTTGCTCATTTCCAGGTTACCAGTTTGACTTTCTAACCATTATGCCACGACTGCCCCAGCATACCAGCCTCCTATGTTTCTGCCGTTGCCTCAGAAGACGCAGTAGTCCAACACGGCAAGTAGACAACATCTGTATTGCAAACCCTTACATGTTGAGGTTGATGTTTTTTGGCGCATACCTACCAATGCAACGTCTTTGCCTTAAAAACCAATGCAGATATTCCGGGAAACGAAAAAGTGGCATGGGACACAAATCGGATCTGATCAGTTGCGATACATAACGTGGACAGTCAATAATTTAGATCAAATTCCAATTGGATAGACAAATAATTGGATTTGGACTGACAGTGTGAACGTAACCAAAGTAGTAACCGTAGTAGCTAGTGTATTCGGGGACCCGGTGCAGGTTGCTATTGTGGTTGAAATCTCAGGGGGGACCCCCGAAAGCTGTAGCTTCTCTAGCGACAGCCCTGGTTATGAATGTAGGATTTGCTTTCTTGTATTTAATTCCTCCTAAATGAAATGTTAATGAAGCAGAAGGCTAAACAACTTGTTGAATTTATAAGCAAGAACCAAAAAGTGACTCGCATAAAAACCTGCTTTCCCCTTAATGTGCAAAGCCTGACAGATACCGTATTGCCATGCTGTTGTCACTGAGGATGACATGTTCAATCCACTCATGCTGTCATTGAGATGACATCCTCTGTCATATAGAAGAGTTTGTGTTGAGCGGTGTCATCTAGTGCATTTTAATAGAACTAATATATGACATATTGGGGATACTGTGGCTCCTCTGTAAATTTTTCAGGTCAGTTGCTCTGTAGGCACATGTATAAGTATTGGTTACCTTACCAGAAAAATCCTTTGAATATTTAGACCACCATCGCAGCAGAAAAAAAATTGTTTTAGGTTATTAAACGCTTTTCATGAAAATATAAACAGTGTAATAAAAAAAAAAATGAAACTCAAAATAATTAATGAAACTGTAATGTAAAATTTACAAGGCTGCATATTCTTTTGGACTTATATTAAATATCTCTCCAAACCAGGATGAACATTTTTAACATTTTGTCCATTTTTTAATTGTTTGTAATACCGACATGACCTCTCCAAGAGAATGCTAGCTATGTCTGTTCTGCATAGTATTGCATTTTGTTTTTAGAAATAATGCAGATGTTTTGCCAAGTGGATGTGTCTTTGCAATACGCTTTTGAAAAATATAATTAGAAAATTATTTTTTGCTCAGCACAACATTATTTATTACATCAGTAACTATGTTATCAAGGAGATGCTCAAAAGGATGTTTCCTCTTTCATGGGAACATTGTGTCTCATTTGACCTGAAAGATCTTTGTTTCAATCAAAAGACTGAATCAATAGTTCTTCCTCACTGCAATTTACAAGTCTGTTCTCCTCCACTCATGTTAAGGGAACAGTCTGAAGGTGTTTCATAAACATTTAATCTCAAACACATACAAATCAACAAATGTCACGACTGCAGTTACAGTATGCTCAGATCAGTTTTTAGTTCACATTTGGTATATAACAACAACAGTGTTTTCATTTATGGATGGACTGTCTCTTTAAGAACTAAAACTGGAGAAACAATGTATCTGTTAGTAATATTAATGTGCGTGATCCGTTCACATTGATTCATGATCATATGAGAGTGAAAGAGTTCATTGAATAGTCACATGAAATAAAGTGTCTTTGAAATGGTGCATCAGTCAGCTGACGCAACAGGCCAGAATTTTAAATTATGTGGAGCACACAATGATCTCCGCTTTGGAAATCTGATGTTCAAAATGCATTCATGGACATTATGAATCGAACATACTGTAAGATTTATGAGTAATTAATGTTTTATGTAATCAAAATTTATGACACTTTCAATATTTGCAGCATATAATCTAGGTCATAAAGAGGAAAAACGAATAACACGAGTGGAATCTTTGTGTCGTTTGAATGTATGTGGCTGTAACCAGGAAGACTAATTTTCACACTGCTCTTTCATTATGGTGACCTTTTTTCATCCTTTCACTGAGAAATGGGATATCCAGTAACCTTTGACTCGTATTAGTTCTCTACAAAAAACAGAAATGTTATAACAGGAGTCTTAATGTGCTGTCTTTGTATTTCAACAAATACACAACCCCAACACCTGGGTGGACACAAATAGATGCAAAGGACTCAATATAATGGAAAGGATAAGGAAGCCTTCATTAAGGTCCAAGACTTTCTTGAGGCACTTTTAAAAACAGCATCGGGTCAAACACACAGTATTACTGTTTGTCTTATGTTTTAACAGGTATCTTGTCAGCCACTGGAAATGGTTATGTCATATACCAGACCGCCAAACGCAAGACCAAGTTAAAGCCGCCAGAATTCATGACGCTGAATCTAGCTTTATTCGACTTTGGCATATCGGGTAAGTTTAAATGACTTGATATCATGCTGCTGATGTTATCTTCATCTGTCAGATTATGTATTATACAGCCAATCTGAAAGGATCTCTCTGTTGTAAGCTATACACGATTTCTTTTGGTTGTGTGTTTATAATATACAGCTTTCAGTGTATAGTTTAGCATTATATTTGGAGTCGAGTAAGTTTATTCAGCTCTTATGACACTGTCTTTCTGGTTTATTTATGTGCTGTTGTTGAAATGCACTTGTATAAATCATGCAGAAAGGCCCTGAGGTTACAAAAGAGAACAAAAGATCAAATTCCTGCAATGATGACCTGGAAAGAATCTCTTTTCCTTCATCTTCCTTTGACATGATTTTTTCTCTTACTTTAGTGTTCAGTGCATAACATGAACGCAATCAAAGTTAGCATCTTTTGTTACACTATATAACCTACTGTAGCTATACAGTATACCTAAGCACTTAAGCCTAGTAGAAAATGCACATTTCACTAAATTATTTTCACCAAACATGAAATTAAAGTAGGCTACATGCGTTACAATTTGTGTAAAATATCATTAGTTTCAAACAATACATTGTTACAGTAAATCAATTATGATTACTCTGTTTAGATCGAAGTTTTGATTTTAAACAGCTAACAGAAAACACACGACAAGACTGCTGAAATGTCCAGCGACGCCCCTGAGATTTTCAACAAAGATTTCCTCTCCTTAAACGAATTTGTATCCATATTTGTACTCTAGCCCCACCTAGTGGATGTTTAGTGTGGCTGCCTCGGAGCAGCAGTGACGGTTGAGGCCCCTGATAATAATTAGAATCTTAAAGGGATAGTTCACCCCGAAAATGAAAATTGTATCATCATTTACTCACCCTCATGTTGTTCCAAATCTGCTGGAGTTTCTTTTTTCTGTTGAACACAAAATGTGATATTACAAAGATACAAAGATATTTTAAAGAATGTTGGTAACCAGACAGCTGACGGCATTGACTTCAATAGTATTTTTTTTTCCTACTATGGAAGTCAGTGGGTACTGTCAACAAAATTTTCATTTTAGGGTGAGTACTGCTTACAGGCCAGTATATTTTTACTTATATAAAGAGCTCACTTTCTAAGATTTACAGAACAAATGACTGCCTGTGTAGCTCACAAAGTTCATTCCAGTTAATTAAATGTGGAGTGTGTCATTTTTGAGCTACTGACAAAAATACCTGTTTTCAAATAAGTTTCCCCGGACAAGTTTCTCTCTGCCTTATATTGCTTTGTGGAGGGTTCTGCCCCAAAATCATGGCAGTAATGCGGTTTCGGGACGCTCAAACAAATGTTAAATTATTATTCAGTTTGTTTGAGTCTACAAATGGCTTACTTATAGTTGTTTCTGCATATTATTCGGCATAGGAGAAAGTAATTTAACCACGAACAACAGGGACAAGAGAATTGATCAAATATGATTTATCATTTTAAAGGCTTGAGAATCACCCTTGTCAGTCAAAATGTTTACAGTAAGTTCAGCATTGGTAGCATTTTGGATACAAATTATATTTTGTTTTCAGTGTACCATCAGGAGTTCAAATTGATTTAGCTCCGTCCAAAATGCCATTCTCGTCTTGTCGCCTATTAGCCAGGATGGCGTCGCTGGATTTGAGCATAATGAAGCTTTTGTTTTCTGGGAGTCATGCACATGGCTGACTGCTTTAGTGCGTCACATTTACGCAGACCTTGGGTCAGTGTGCTTTCTGGCTTCTCTTCCTCTGGGTTTGTTCATATGAAGAACACATATAGGTCTGCCGTGAGTCTTTAGTCTGCATCTCTGAAATGGCTACCGTCAACTGTTTGGTTACTCATATTCTTTCAAATATTTTCTTTTGTGTTCAGCAGAAGAAAGAAATTCGTTAACACTTTACTTAAAGCCTTTATAGATAATGCATTAGAAAAGTATTTTATGCCTTATAATGCATGGTGTGGCGTTTTCGAGATGCCGAGAGCTTCACGTCCGCGACTAACTTAGACTTGACAGAGCTTCACGAGTCACGACTTGACAGGGACTTGACATGACTTGACACGCTCTTGCATGTACTTTATTAGACAGGTGAGCAAATGTACATAAAACAAATCAATGTTAAATAGCTCATCATGATGAAATGTTAGAATATGGTCAGTATGTTATTCTAATGTTGATCTAGCTTACTCTAGTCTCATATAGCAAACAAACTAACACATAGAATAACATTATAACTTTCAACACACTCAAATGCTGTAGTGTTACGTTAGACCAAATGAAACAGCGCTGCGTTACCTCACAAGTTACATTTTTCAAATAAACTGACCTGTGTGAGTAGTAATTCAGAACTTGCAGGTAGTTCGGTAGAATTAAATTCCTTAATATCCTTACCTGTGGCGCTGATATCTATCTCTTATTAGCAATCGCGACCTGCTTCATACCACCGTCATGTTAAAAAACATGAATGTTTTCACTCATCCATAAACATCATTAGATACATCAGCATGACAGCAAGTCCCATCATTCCGCTTATCACTGCGTCATCAACCTACGCCTTTGTAATTGTAAGAGGTTAGCGACCCCTAGCGGTGAATTATTATTATTCTTTTTTTTACATATTGTAGCTTTAAACCACAGCAAACAAACAGTTTCAGATGTAACAAGGAATCTGTGGATATTATAATGCATTTTAACTTTGGTTATAATTACTTAATGAAAAGATATAATGCATTACACAGCTTTTCATTAAGTTAATTTACACCATACATTATGCATACCTTAAATGGTTAGTTGACCCAAAAATGAAAATTCTGTCTGTAATTACTTACCCTCATGTCGTTCCAACCCCGTAAGACTTTGGTTCATCTTCGGAACACAAATTAAGATATTTTGGATTAAATCTGAGAGCCGGCTCACTCCTTCATAGGCTGCTAGGTAATTGCATCTGCCGGCCCAGAAAAGTTAGTAAAAACATTGTTAAAATAGTCCAAGTGACTACAGTGGCTCAACCATAAGTTTATCAAATGATGAGAATACTTTTTGTGTGCAAAAAAAAAATAATAATAATAACAACTTTATTCAATATTCATTTTCTTCTGTGTGGGCCTCTGACGTGAGTTCACGAGAGCGCCACGACGCATGCGCGAGAACTGAGAAGATGAGAAGGGCTGGCAGGTTTCAATTACAATAGAAGCCTATGGAGGAGTGAGACAGCTCTCAGATTTAAACAAAAATATCTGAATTTGTGTTCCGAAGATGAACGAAAGATGAACAACATGAGGGTGAGTAATTACTGACAAAATTAACATTTTTGTGTGAACTAACCCTTTAATAATGCATTACATAAAAGCTTTAAGTAAAGTGTTACGAGAAATTTATATAGGTTTGGATCAATTTGAGGGTGAATAAATGATGACAGAATTTTAATTTTTGGGTGAACTATCCCACATGCAAAGTTTAGTTAAGATCACAGTGATCCAAAACCTGGATACTGCCGATTCTCAGGCAGTTTTGGTTGTTCCCTCTGTATAAAATCCCAGCTAACAAAAATATGTTCTAAGGATGTGTGCCAACGTTCCCATTAAGTTGTGAAAAATGTGTTTCTGAATGTTCTCAGAACGTTCATAACGTGTTTTTTTTTTTTAAGTTTTAATTTTTGTTGTTGTTGTTGGTTATGTGAATATTGGAGAAAACATTCATTGTAATGTTTTCTCTATTGTATCATTCATTACTGGAACGTTACTTTTGAATGTTCTCTGATCCGTCTGAAAAAGTAATAAGTAGTAACATTGAAAAAACAGTAGACTAAAGACTAACTAATATGTTTCAGAAAATGTTCCATGAATGATGTACAAGTAACGTTCTTTGTGCTAATGTTTTGATAAAGTTATTAAATACCAGATAACTTTGAACAACAATTCTATTATTGTTACTGGAAGAATGTTCATAAATATTAGAGAAACTTACCAGAATTTTAGCCAAAGTTCTGAGAACGTTCCTGGGAATGCCATCTGAGAGCATATGTTCTTTTGTCTCAAGTCTTGTTTGACATAAGGTTCTTTTTATGTTTTTGGTCAGTCACTGGAAAGCCGTTCTTCATAGTGTCGAGTTTTTCGCACCGCTGGCTGTTCGGATGGCAGGGCTGCCGCTACTATGGCTGGGCCGGCTTTTTCTTCGGATGCGGAAGTCTCATTACCATGACGATTGTCAGCTTAGACCGATACTTGAAAATCTGCCATTTAAGATATGGTAATTAAGTCTATCTATCTATCTATCTATCTATCTATCTATCTATCTATCTATCTATCTATCTATCTATCTATCTATCTATCTATCTATCTATCTATCTATCTATCTATCTATCTATCTATCTATCTATCTATCTCTAGTTCTATATATCTATCTATCTATCTATCTATCTATCTATCTATCTATATATCTACAGTATCTATCTATCTCTAGTTCTATCTATCTATCTATCTATCTATCTATCTATCTATCTATCTATCTATCTATCTATCTATCTATCTATCTACAGTATCTATCTATCTCTAGTTCTATCTATCTATCTATCTATCTATCTATCTATCTATCTATCTATCTATCTACAGTATCTATCTATCTATCTATCTATCTATCTATCTATCTATCTATCTATCTATCTATCTCTAGTTCTATCTATCTATCTATCTATCTATCTATCTATCTATCTATCTATCTATCTATCTATCTGTCTGTCTGTCTGTCTGTCTGTCTGTCTGTCTGTCTGTCTGTCTGTCTGTCTGTCTGTCTGTCTGTCTATCTATCTATCTATCTATCTATCTATCTATCTATCTATCTATCTATCTATCTATCTATCTATCTCTAGTTCTGTTTATCTATCTATCTCTCTATCTGTCTGTCTGACTAACATGAATTTACTTGGCCATCAGGTACATGGTTCAAACGACATCATGCCTTTCTCTGTCTGGTTTTCACATGGTTCTACGCTGCCTTCTGGGCCACCATGCCAGTGGTGGGCTGGGGAAACTACGCACCTGAGCCATTTGGTACGTCTTGCACACTGGACTGGTGGCTGGCCCAGGCCTCTGTGTCTGGCCAGAGCTTTGTTATGTGCATGCTCTTCTTCTGCCTCATCTTCCCCACTGGCGTCATCGTCTTCTCCTATGTCATGATCATCTTCAAGGTGAAAGCCTCAGCCAAAGAAGTCTCTCATTTTGACACACAGAATAAGAACAAGCACAACCTGGAGATGAAGTTGACTAAGGTTTGTGTGTTTTATTACAGTTTTTCTCAGTCGCTTTGGTGCATTTTTTCGAATCATCCTCGACATTTGTAAAACAGTAAGTGCATTTCTCAAAACAATTTGTACAAATTGCAAAACACCATGGATTACCTGCAAAAACCAGTCTCTTGCTCAAAATCCTTAGTTCATCTCTCAAAAGTAAACATCTGTGTCAATGAACATGTCAGTGCCATCAGAATGACAAGTCCTTGTGTCATTGTGTACGGATAAGACAGTCAAATTGCTTAGTCATGTTGTCAATATTACTGTGTACTCTGGGGGATGTTCTGATGTAAACTATGGCAACAGTTTGGATGACAGTTACTGTATTGAAATGTACAAATCTGCGCTTCTTCTGTATGACTATTGCACAGAGAACTTTTTAATACATTTTGAGCAACACGGCATTAGCAACTGATAATGTAGGAAACCGCAGACAATTGTACATAATCAATTACATGAATGTACCAAAGCAATCGCAACTTGTTCAAAAGAATGAGAAACCGCTTTTATGGTGTGCACAAGTGACTAGATGATTTGGAGGTTGAACAAGTAGTTTTGAGAATTTCATTTCTGATCTGAGAAATGCACCAAAGCGACTGAGAAAAACTGTAATCAGAAATGCTATGTGAAAATGCCATGTCATATTTCATGTGGTTTTGTTTGCATTCTCCAGGTGGCGATGTTGATCTGCGCAGGGTTTTTAATAGCTTGGATCCCTTACGCTGTGGTATCAGTGGTGTCTGCTTTTGGAGATCCTGATTCAGTGCCTATCCCAATCTCTGTTGTGCCAACTTTGCTGGCCAAGTCCTCTGCCATGTACAATCCAATCATATATCAAGTCATTGACTGTAAGAAGAACTGTGCCAAACCGTTCTGCTTCCAAGCTTGGAGTAAAAGGAAACATTACAAGACTTCAAGGTATGTGCACCCTTCAAATTCTAGAGGAATAAGGGATTAATTGGCTTTTGATCTCTTTCTCTCTCTCTCTTACACACACACACACACACACACACACACACACACACACACACACACACATATATATATATATATATATATATATATATATATATATATATATATATATAATATACAACTGAAGTGTGTTCAGTTTATGATATACTTGGGTACATTGTCTATAAAGACTCTTAAATTCCTCCTCTGTGCTTTATCATCATATTATGGATCAAATGCAGTATGCAAATGCATGTCCCACTGTGGGTGGATGTTTTTGCTGCAATGCCGGATCTTGCTGTCTATCTTGTTCCGTTAGCGTTGTGTTAAAACACTATTTTTAAGATAGTTAAAAACAATCGAGACGCATGCGCTTTGCTCTGTTCAAGGGGTCAAGGTTTAGCTGGTTAGCATACTCAAATCTGTTCAAAAGTTGCCTTATATTCTTATGAAATAATTTTTATCAAGCGACGTATTGCTTATCTTTTATTATAGTTTAGTAGAGTTGTTAGTGTGCAGCAAGAATGTGATACATTTACAGTACATGTGTGTTATCATTCTTCGTCAGAATTTTGTCCGAATTTTTGTCTCTTTTTGTTCTTTAGACGTCTATTGGAAAGATTGTTGACACAAAGCCCTGGCATGATTTAATTAGCCTGAACGTAACAAAAAACAACTGATTGACTGAAGACTATTGAATGCGGCTGTCTTGTTTTTCCCAGGTTCTACTCCATCTCTGCCTCCCTGAAAAAGAGACCAGCCAATGAGGTTCCGACTGAGATATGAGCAAATGACAGGAACCCACAATGGACCTGTGATAGGACATTGGGCAATTTGTTATTGTGCAATTTAGACATCAACAATTCACACCCACCTACTGTAACTTTGCTCTTGTATACTACTGCCGTCAGCTTCACAAACCCAAGCAAACACAACTCCTTTTAATTTGATCTTTCTGTGTATAAAATAATTAAGTATGATGTATTTTTATACATATATATTTTTTGGTTATTTATTTTATATTCCAGCATTCACAGTACCAACACGTTTAAAACAACCTGCTTAAAGTCTTATATGACATCACTTTTTAACAAATAGTAGTCTGTGTTCAGTCTATTTAGTGTCTCATTTAGCAGTCACATTTAGTGTTTGTACAGTAAGTAAACATATAATTAAAAACTGGTTACACATACACACATCTATACAGCAGCATGGTCACAGATAAACAACAATGTATACACACACAAAATGAGTGCATCTTTACTGTTATTTTTTTTTAAAGCAAATTGAATAGACACTAATGCATTAATTGAGGCTATTGAATTTCTTTTTTTATATTATAATATACTTAGCATGATAGTTTTGGGCCATGTGCAATGATTATATATTAGACATTACAATGAAGCCGTCTTTTACATGGAAAGGTGTCTCCCAAAGTCTATGGTCTTGAGAATTATTATTATTGTTATTTTTATTTATTTATTTTGTACTCAATTTACATCCAATGTCATTTTAACTTTATGTATTTAATATGGTAGCCTTTTGCATGTTATCAGCCTTCAGACAGCCCCTAAACTGTTAAAGGCTAGGGAAGAAAGTGCACAGTTGGTAAAGATAAGTTGATTATAGTGTGCATACAAGTTTTCCCCAAATTGTACATGTTTTGTGGAAGTTGGACGATAATTAACAGGACGATAATTAATAGATAATGCTAAAGCAAGCTGGGTTTATAAAATCTTAGACATTTCTTTTTAAATATCTGAGACTTACAGTATTTAAAAAAAAATTGCTCCTAGATGACCTATGAAAATACACTGTACAATGCTAGTGCTTTTTTTTATCAGAAAGAAGCTTGTTAATACTCAAAACATAATGCTTGCACAATTAAAGCTAAATATTATTGAATATAATAAATAGTTTACACTTATTTTGATGGAGGTCACAGTTTTACTTGAATGGCAACCAGTTAGATTGTTGTAACTGGATGTTTGGTTATACTGTACAATAGAAACATTATCGCTGTAGTATTGAAAACAAAATAAACAAAACAAAAATCTTGGAAGACAAAAACAATTAGCAGAATGATGGTATAATGAAATGATGATATAATGAAAGTGGACTTTGATTTAAAATTGCTAAAAACACTAAATAAATAGCTTTTTTGTTTTCCGCAAGAAAAAAAAAATGCTTTGAACCCCAATTGTGTGAGTAGCCTAAATGAAGACAGCAATGTTTTGAATGAAAGACTCTTTATTGCACTATATAAGCTCAGACATATGCTTGCAAATGTCTTCACCTTTAGCGTGAATGAATGTTGTTGTGGTGTGCTGGATCTCATCAACAAAGCTAGAATAAAGTTGGGATCTCCTCCTTGGGTTTAGGGTTAGGTTTCAATGAATGACCAGAGATTCCCCATTTTGATCTCCTGAGCCCCTGACAACGTGTCCAACGGTACTTAAAATCCTTGCAGTCTGTTGGTAGCTGATCCTCATGGCGTTGGAGTTCAACGCGTTTTTTTTTCAGCAGTTTGATTTAATGCCCACATCTTTTATCTGATGCTTTCATGCAGTTGTGACAGAGAGCAGGAAGTGGAGAATGCACTGGATGCCTCACTGCCTGCCTTCTGTTGTCCTTGTCATAATGCAGTTTACGGCACGCAGGAGCCAGAATAACAACATAGTCTCTCACCAGACAAAACGCTAAAATCCCCTTCCCCCCCAATGATAGCTTTAAAAGCACACCTCTCACGGTCTGTTTAAATTAGTTTTTCTAACTTGAAATGAATGCCTTTTCATATATGCTTCACATGCTTTAATCAGCTTGATGAATGATGTAATAATGTACTGTACAGAATGTGGTTTGAACGATTAGCACATTGAACCTGAAGTGAAAAGTAATGAAACCAAAGGTAAACCAATCATGTTTTGTTTAGGCAGAATGGGTACGCTATCATTCTTCATCAGATCTGACAGGCTTGTCAGTGAATAGGATTGATGAAACCTAACAAAAAAGTCTTTTCAAAAGACTGAAATTATTGAAATCCCCATTAAACTAAGGAATATACCATTCTACTATAAATAACATTTTTCTTTACTTATCCAACCTAAGAAAATGGTTTTCACTAATGGTCCCAGAAAGCACTTAGATGCAACCAGAAAATGCCTTGTCATGTGAACTGATGTAAAATGGGGCGACTAAAGTGTTCTAAATGTGATCTGAGAGGCAAATAAAGCTGGCAGATTGAGGGATACTTACCAAAGACAAACAAATTTAACAAACGTGGAACACAATATGTGCATATCTTCTATACTATTTTAGGGCTTCGTTATCATTGTTCTGATGCATTCAGCTTCAAAATGCCATTGCATTAATCAGCTGATAAAATTGATCCAGGACTCTGAGGATATCAGCATTTTTGTCGCAGATGTCTTTGTTACATAAGTTGAAGACTGCACCTTGATTACATAAAAGAAGCAAATATATACTGTAAGAAATTAAGTAAATTACCATCAACTTTCTTAGGACAAATATTCCATGTAAACTGAAATAATCAAATCATATCAGATAACATAAGAGATTCATTATAGAGTAATGGAGAAAATAGAAGTGCAGAATACATGCTGATTAATTATTTAGCTTTATTTTGTTCTCTTCCATATTATTTTAAACTCTAATATTATTTTTACTCTAAAGATCATTAGCAATATGGTAAACAGGGTTTTAATATTTCATTTCCAAAGGATTGTTTCTCTGTTACTATACGTTGATTTTACTGTAAACCTGCAATGGATGTCATCTATTGATTATTACATGTCACCAAATTAAATTAGTTAGAAATCTGCATATCGTGCTCATCAGATGTTGTCATTGTGTGTTGACACGATCATTTTAAATATAACTTAAAGGGATAGTTCACCCCCAAAAAACTAAAATTATGTCAGTATTTACTCATGCTATCCTAAACCTCAAAGTCAGGTTTGGAACGATATGAGGATGAGTGAATGTTGACAGAATTTAAATTTTCTCGCTATCCTTTAAGTTTACAACTGCCATAACATTACATTTAAACAGTTAACAAAGTAATAATTATTGGCTGAATTTACTGTATGCTATGAATTAATTTGTGTATTCTCTGTATCCATGTAAAAACAATTAATGTCAAAATACCATCTACAATAACGATCAAAAAACACTGAATAAAGTTGTTGATGTTACATACAAACAGTGAAAAAGACTGTGTTCTACATACTGATTCTCAGTTATTCATAGTTTTCATGTGATGTCACTACCTTTTAGGAATGCCCACCTGCAGGGCAAAAGCAATGGAGGCTTTCCTTTTATTGCCTGCCAGTTAGGCCCATTTTTTTTCAGCCCGTTCTCATCCCAAGGCGTCATATACTGACGCTTTTGCCAATGCGTATACATCCAACGCACATGGCACCCTTTAGCGTCAAAATGAGACGCAGATATATATGGGCCAGAAGGCGCCTCCTAGTGGTCTAACCCTAACCCTACCCCAGACCTAAACCTACCCATAACCGAAGCGTGTTATAATGACGCTAAAGGGTGCCATGTGCGTTGGATGTAGACACTTTGGCAAATGGTATATGACGCCTTGGGATGAGAATGCTTTGTTTTTTATACCAGGTTTGAACTAAGTATTAATGTAGCAAGGCGTGATATTAAGACCAAAAGACCAGAAAATCAAAAAACAAAACTAGAAATCCATTATTTAGGATAAGTGATGGCAAATCAAGAAGCCTACATAGGGGACATTTTAGGGTACTGCTGTTTTAGTTGAGTGTAGCCTACTAACAAACAACGCATTCGTCATTCAATTCTGTGTAGGTAGGCTATGTGAATGACTGTGGGGTGGGGGCACAATATGATGTGCGTGAGTTGAACTCCACACACGCCGTGATTTTTAGATTGAGCGGGCAGAGAATGGGCTGAGAACCGGGAGATTCAGTTCAACACAACAGACATGCTGAGCTGATGAGATCACAGCTGCGTAGCGTGCTACCCACGCGCGAGCACATTCCCACCTCCCTGCTACAATCAAATAGACCGTTCTCACGACTTGATGGGAATCACAATTAGCATTAAAACTCCTTTCACGGTTGCAGTCATTCACTCTTAGAACGGTATGTTCATAAATAATATATTCAGCTTTTTACATAACAGCTTTTATACGATGCAATAATGGATTCGAAAAAGGTATCGATAGACATACTAAATTACTCAGCGGTAGCGTCACAGTTTTATAAATAATGTCGCTGTGTAACAAAACTATTAGCATTGAGAAACGCCATATTTTTCTTGACAATATGCCAGCAATAAAGAAGTGTGTGTAACATGACTCATTTGAATCAGTTCTTTTCAACCTGAATCATTAGTGTGAGTTTGAATCGATCTGATCGGTTTCAACCTAGGCTAAATGACTCACTCAAATGAACAGTAACGTTTGGGAGGTTCTTCCAAAGTGGACATACCGGTAGATTTCTTCTTATCTGAGGTAATGTGACACTTTTTTTTTCTTCGACAAAGACACTTAACAAACAAATGGAAATATCTATATTTTTTTATTTTAATAAACGCATCAAAGTAGAGATCAAAGTAGGCTATCTTATTTCGAAAATAGGCCTAAGTATAGCTTGTAGCTGCTTTGCTAGCTATTTTTTGGGTAACACTTTATTTTGATGGTCGTTTTTTAACATTATGTTTACTATAATTTTGCATGATAACTTTCAGTAGACTGGCTGCTTACTAACTCTTTATTGTGATGCTCCCCCAACATATATATTCTGACTAAGTAGCCTAACTTTGCAAGTATGTCAACTCTCATTACTCTACTAATGTAGGTGCAACGTTACTTATAGCCAACAGAATGTGTAAATGGACCATCTTTTTAAAAAAGTATTATTATAGTTATAGCTTGCCCAAAACTACACACTTTTAACTTTCCAAATCCCAGTTTAGACATATGCTAAATATGCTACACCTCCCAGGCGAGGCTTGTATGAACATAGCAGAAAGGTTTGGAGACATGTCTCTGTGGACATGTCCCTCAGGGATGGAGAGAGAAGATCAACCTGTCTGTCTGTACTTTTA